CTGGAGCCTCCTGCTCCTGCAGGGCATCCCACCTCAGGTTAGATGTCAGGTTTAGGTGCAAGAAGCACAGCTCAGCAGGCTGCTGAAACGTATTTGGCAGGATAGGTGCCTGCTCAACCAGAGGCTTTCTGAGGCTCATTCCTCTGCAGAAAGTGCAGCTTTTGGCCCCAGAATCACTGCTCTGGATTTCTCCCTGCATCCTGGAGTGTTGGTGGCCTCTGAAGGTGCAGTACCTTCAGCACTGGGGTCTGATCAGTGTGGATTGCAATTCTTTTTTCCCCAGGTCATTAATAGAGGCAATATGATTTGAATCCAGTTAATCTTAGTGTGAAGCACTGGAGATTTAGATGGAGTGGAATGTGCTTTTTCCAGACCCCTTGCTTTCAATGCTCAGAGTGGTTTGACTCCATCTAAATGCCAGGGTCACTTCTTTTAGGCAGAACTCCTGAGATGCTGCATGAAGTTATTTAAATCACCCTGAATTTATCATGTATGGCTGCCTTCTGAAAAAGTGACCAAACTTATCCATGATGATTTGCCTTTTGTAATGTCACGTTGCCTAATGCTTGTGATTAACTGAAGTTAATTTACAGGAGCCAGATTCTGGGGAAAATTACATGTGTGTTCAAGTTTATGCACTCAGGGATAAATCCAAGCTCTGAGAATAAGTCACTGGAGAATTTTGCATTGACTTTGGTGTCATTAGGGTTTCACTGTCCTAATTACCAAAGCAGCAGTGCCTACAGGGTGCATAATATATTTCTGGAATTAGGTTTTAGGAGCTTACAAACCTTCTTGCAGTATCTGTCATACTCAATTATTAGTAAACCAGGCTAGATTGACTAGGTAGTAATTAGTGAGGGGTCTTTTTCTGTCTTGGGAGCAGTGCTGCTGATTTAAGGGCTGCTTGGAGGGGGCAGAAGTTAGCTGGCCCTTGAGTGTCACCAGCTCCCTGGGTCACAGGGGGACAACTTGTAACCCAGATGAAAAGAGACAAGGGGCAGGCACCCATCTGTTCCTCCAGCTCTCCTGTCCTGCCCCACCACATCCCCCTCCATGGCCATGGGGAGCAGCCCGGAGCTCTGAGCATGCAGTGACCCATCACCCAGACACTGAACTGGTGACACCTGATTCTGCTCCCAGGCTGAGGAGAAGTTGTGTCTGTGGGTTTGCAGGCAGTTTTGCTGCCTCCTGCCCCGTGGCAGCAGGGGCAGTGAGGAGCTGACAGCAGGAGACCTTTGGCCAGCACCACTTCCATTCAACAAATATTTTCCAGCAAATTCACAAATGCAATCAAACTGTATTTTATTATTTGCCCTTTATGTCCAAGAATGACTTTTTTCCTCTTGCTAAGCTCTCAATTTCCCAGCTGAGGATGCAGGGTATTTCTGAAAATGCCTCTTTTTCCCCCAGCTGGAGCTTGCATTTTGATAGAGCTCCATGGTACGTGTTTCAGACCGAGATCCTCCTTTTTGTCTGCTGCTGAGATAAAGAATTAGTAGTTTAAAACAATAACTACATGTTCCACTGTGATCAAGGAATTAGATAATCTGGCATGTTTGCTTAAGGGGTCTGTGTCTTGGGGCTTTTATAGGGCAGTATTAAAGCCCTGAGCCTTCTTATTATGCCAATACCCAGAAGATTGCTTTAATGAGAAGTAAAGGGCCTTTTTCCAATTACAAGGGAGTAACTGTATTAAGTTCCTGTGTTATGTCAACCTGCTTTGATTTGATTACTGCGAAAGAAATGGATTTATCTGTCAGTGTTACTTAATTAAGCCTTCTCATTGATGTTTTGCAGAGTAATATAGTGTAGTTTGCACATTTAAGTCTAAATATAAAGAAAATTGGTCGAAAGCTAAGACACGACCCCTGAAGATAAGGCACAAGAGCTATTGCTTGTCATTTGCTGATCAGGCTCCAGAACTTTTAACTGTGGCAGAAGAACCTGAGCATGCTAAGGGTTCAGAATAAAGCCAAGGTAAAGGATGAGGGATTTTCAGCCAGGTTCTTGAGAGGCCTAAAAACTGTGAAGTCTAGGTCAATCTGCCAGAATTGCTTGGTGCAGTTAGTCTGCTCATTTCTGCCCACTGTAGGACTCTTGGGTGTGTGGAATGATGTCTGCTTACCTTCAGTGGCTCACTTCCCTGGGTGCATCCCCAAAAGCTGTCCCTCTCCCTGCCTGGAGTGGCCTTCTCTAGGAAGGACTTTCTCTCTGGCTTGATCTTGGCTGTGCCCAGGAGCTCAATGTGGATTGTTTGCAGAGCTGAGGAATACCCAGCCCTGAGGTATGTGCTGTTCCTGTGTTATTTTAAGCATCTGATAGTGCCCTCTGGTCATGCTTGGCTTGAGGGAGAGGTAGGGATAACACAGGAAAAGGACAGTGGGGCAGGAATTCAGCTCAGCACAAAAACCTGTGTTGGAGTGTAAGCACTTAAATAGCTCCTTTCACCATCACTGGGACCATCCAGTGGTTGGCCATGAAGCCATGTGCTGCTGGAAAGTCCTGGGTATCCTGGGCAATGTGGTGTCCCTTCCCCATGCTTGGAAAAAAGCTTTTTGAAGAACATGATTGAGAGGAGACCTCATGAGTGTTCTCAGTACTGTGTGTAAGCCCAGTATGTGTGGAAGGGGTGACAGGAGCCTCTTGGCTGGAGCTGGGTGGTGAGCTCCCAGAGGGAAGAGCTCAGCAACCATTATTGCCCACCCCTTGTCTGGGCTGCTGTGGGGATGTCCCCATCTCTCTCTGCTCTCCCTCCTGGCTCCAAGCACAAGAGAAGGAGTGCTGCCCAAAAGGCAGCCCTGAAATGTTGTTTTAGGTGACCCATGAATACATGGAAGGCTGTGGCATTTATAGTCTTAAAAGATCAATTAAAATGTACAGTATAGCAGTCTGGGAACCTTTTATTGGTGTGTAAATGCTTGGTTCATGGGTCTGCAGGAGAGAGCTGTGAGCAGGGCAGGATGTAGGGGAGCCTGGAGGTGATGGGTTGGTCACCTTTCTGGAGCTGGACTTGGAGCTGTTGTCCTGTCCCCAGGTGCTGTTCCCCAGGCCTGAGCTCTGCTGCTTCCAGATGGGTTTTGGAAGCCCTGCTGGAGGGTGGGATGATGCCCATCAAAATCAGTGGGATAATATCCACTGGTTTTTAGCAGGCAATGGATTAGGGCTCTACAGAGTTAATTGCCTGTTACATAACACAAATGATTTTTAAAAAATATGCCTAATTAACCTAATAGAATGGTTGATCTGATCTGTCAGGTAAATGATACACATTTTCTTTCTTTTTCTGGAGCTTAATTAAATATTTACCTAAGAGTGTCTTGTGCTATTAACACATTCATCTGTTATTGAGATAACAGAAACTGTAACTGGGAGAAAGCATGAACCTGTACCAACATGGGGGGGTTTGGGTGCTTTTTTTTAATCTTGGAAACCAACCTGATTTGGTCACAGCCCCTGTGTTTAAAAGTGTGAACTGCTTCTCAGACAAGGGAAGTTCTCACTGATCTTAAGAGGTCTGGATGAACCAGTGCATGGGGCCAAGGGAGCTGCTCCCATGTGTGCTCTTCAGCAGCACTCTGGGAAAGTTTCTCCAGCCAGCAAGGCCAAACAAGGGGTTCCCAGTTAGACTAAAGCTGCAGTTGGTGCATGACAAAAGGCAAGCAAGGTGATGATCTGATTAGGATGCTGGTGGGGACAGAGGAGCAAGTTGGGAATTAGCACCAAGATGTGCAGTGATGCTGTTCTAGATCAGTGTCAGTCACTTCTCCTGATGTTTATTGTCCTGTAAGTAAGAAAGGGAATGGATTTAAGCATCCTGGGCCAGTCCCTCACTGTACTGAAGGATGTGCTTAACGTTAAGCATGAGTGATCTCATTTACTTGAATTAACACAAGAATGAACTGTGGAATTCCTCTGGAATTATTCAGGCTGCCATTAAACCTGCCTGCAAGTGCCTTGCTGAACTGGTGGTGTGTTTATCCAGGAAGTTGGTAGCCCAGTGGGAAGTCTTGGGAGGCTCCCAGCTCATTTAGTGAAGGTGTTGTGATGGCAGTGGTCAAACCAACCTCTCCCAGCACACCTAGGGGCATGTTCTGCCTCTGTGGTGGCCTGCAGGGTTGAGTTGGTGGCTTCTCCTGGCCCTTGGTGCCACCTCAGCAGGAGTGACCAGCCTGGAGATTCATGTCACTGCAGAGGGACAGCTCTGTACAGTTGGGGTGTCTTTGGAAGAAGCCATTGTGTGGCACACTGGGACATTTCTGTGTTGTGCTGCAAAGTTTAGAGGAGCTTGTGGGAGTCCTGGCTCTTCAGGCTGTACCTGAAATGGCAGGTGTCACTGCCTCAGGGCACAAAGGTGGAATTCCTAGAGGTGCCCTTTCAAACAGGGGGAAAAAAATGGTTAAAAACATCCCAGAATGGGCTGTGTGAAATGACTGGAGGGTCTCCCAAGGATTGCAGTGAATTTTCTATCCAACAATAGAGGAAAAACCAGAAACACCCCCTGTGTGCTCAGCTTCAGGAATGTGTTTTTCTTCTCTTGATGTACAAGTATGTGCTGAAGTGCTTTTCTGCAGCAGAGGCTGAGATGAGGTGGTGAAAGGTACATTTACCCCAAACATGCCTTGCTTCAACCTCTGGGTTTTGTCTCTTTTATCATGTTTTATTTTTGCTGTTTGACAATACCTGGTTTTGTGCTGGAGGTTTTGGTAGGACTTTTAGCTGGTACAGTACAGCCACTTGTTAAAGTGTCAAAACACTGAGCAAAACGGAACCAATTTTTATGTTCAAACCTCAGGTTCCTGAGGGTCCAGTTCACTTCTGCTGTGAATTTAAATGAGTTAATTTAAGCAGTGGGTCAGAAGCCACTGCCATCCTAGTAGCCCTGTGCTTGATTCTTAATTAAAGGCAACAGGAGATTAATTTGAAACATTAATTTAAAAGTGCCTATACAAAAGGAAAGAATTATTGCAATAAAGCCTAAAGAACTTTTTTGTCCCTAGATGTAGAAGACAGAACTAGCTCAGGGTCCTGGGGGAATACAGGACATCCTAGTCCATCCAGGGTAAGTATATCTAATCTTTTTCCCCAAACCAGACTTCCTGCATATGTAAATTTACAATCTTAAATATGAGTTTTACACACCTGATTGCATAGACAAGTGGGCATGTAAAGTTGGCAGTAGCCTGTCTTCCCTTTCAAATTGCTTTTCTTGTGGGTTTTTTAACATTCAAACCTGATCCTGTGATTGAATTTGGCACCTGCTCTGCTCCTCCTAACAGGTAGTGAGAATGTTAACTGTTTCTTGCCAGGCTCTCTCAGCCACCACTGCCATTAGGAGAGCAGAGATCTTGCAGAGTTCCCTTCTCTGCAGCTGGGGTTTTTAGGATTGCAGGTGTCACCAAAGCTGAGGAGTGGGCCAGAGCCCCCTCACCCTGGTTTAGGAGCACACTGCCCACTCTGGAGGCATCCCAAGGCCCAAGCTTAGGTCAGTGAAGCTGGAGAGGGGCCAGCAGGGCTGTCCCACCTTACCAGGGCTGCCCACATGAGTGGCTGTGCCCCTGCCCCTCCAGCAGTGAACCTCAGCTGCTCTGTGTCTCAGGTGAGGGGGTTTCATGCCCTTCTCCTTGGGCAGGAGCTGGTGGCTGGCAAACTGAGGTGGGATGGTTCATCCCATCCCCCCTGTGCACCATCCAGACTGTGGGGCAGGTAGCCCAACAGCCTGCCTGTCTCCTCCCCAGGCACCCTGAGGATGCTCCCCACAAGTGGGATCCCTCTCCAGGGGGTGAGGGCACTGAGCTGCTGTTTGTTCCCTGGGCTCTGCAGGGCAGCTGGAGGCAGTGGTTGCCTCTGTGGCTGTGGGCAGTTACCCACCTCCTTCAGCCACCTCAGGCTGGGCATGCTGGTTCCTTTGGTAGGGAAGCAGTGCTATTTCTAGCTGAGCAGCTGGGCACTGTACCCTGCTCCTGAGCAGCAGCATGTGGGCAGCCCTGCCCCAGCCTTTCCACCCCGAGCATCCTGGCTTTGCCCATCCCCGTGGCCAGGCACAGCCTGTGGTTTAGTACCAAGATGATTATTTCTGTTGACACCCTGCAAATGCATGAAGTATGCTTAGGCTGGGCAAAAAGTGGCTTCACTCTTGCTTGTGCCCTTATTTAAACAGTTAGTTTAAATGGCTTTTTAATTGTTTTTCTAATTAACATGAAGGATCAGGGCTCGTGAGCAGCGCTGCTGGGAGCTCTGTGCCCTCAAGTATCTGTCTGGAGAGCAGTGCAGTTCCCCTGTTCATCCTCAGCCTGTCCTTTCCCCTGGGACAGGTCCCTTGCCCTGGGGCAGGTTTTGAGCCCCTGTCTGCTCCGTGGGGAGCTGAGGGGGGGTCCCCCAGTTGCAGCGTGGCGGGGGGGGGCCCCCCAATTAACATGAAGGATCAGGGCTCGTGAGCAGCGCTGCTGGGAGCTCTGTGCCCTCAAGTATCTGTCTGGAGAGCAGTGCAGTTCCCCTGTTCATCCTCAGCCTGTCCTTTCCCCTGGGACAGGTCCCTTGCCCTGGGGCAGGTTTTGAGCCCCTGTCTGCTCCGTGGGGAGCTGAGGGGGGGTCCCCCAGTTGCAGCGTGGCGGGGGGACCCCGGCCCTGCCGCCGAGGGAGGGAAGCCTGACACCTTTTCTTCTTCCCTCCTGCTTAGCATCCATTACGTCATTACTGCTCACGTCTGTCAGGTTTAGTTTTATCCCTTTTTTTTCCACTTGACACTTGTATTGCGGCCCAGGGAAAAATGTTTTGAAAAGTAAATTCTAAATTTGCCCACACAATTATTTCTGCCTGCAAAAACCTGAATGTGAGCGGACAATGAAGGTTGGGGATATAAAGGAAAGAGCACGAGCCTGGGAAGAATCCTGGAGTTTCAATCAAGACTCTGTGCATTAACTTGCAGAGTTATTCTGCAGGCAGCCTGACCTCTCTCTCGTTCCCCCTTTGTAAAATGATGATGCTGTTTCCACATGAGGAGAATGAGTTCCTCGTGGTTCTTCTGAACCCAAGAAACAAAACATGACACAACTGCTGGGACTTCAGTTCAAGCTTTTGCTAACCGAGCGACTGGGAGCAGGAGGTTACACCAAGGCTGTTTCAAAAATGCAGGGCCTGATCCTGCCAAGGTTGTAGATGTTGTTGGCTCTGTGGGCAGAGCCTGGTGCTGCTGCTCCCCAGGGCAGTGCTGGGGGGTGACAGGGCGATGCAGTGGGCAGGGGCCCTGGTGCTCAGGTTGCACACAGGGAGGAGCACTGTGCCCAGGTATTTTTTCACTGAGAAGTGGCTTCCCACACCCACTTTAAAAAAAAAAATCTGGTTTATTTTTTCTAGGCCAATGCATGTGTATAGCAGTGAGGTCATGAAGATGGCAAACTTCTACATAAAAACAGATTGAAAAAGCAAAGTGCTGAATTCAATATTTCTTTGCTGTTCTTGCACATGGTATGGGCAAGAGGACTTTTCTGAGAGAGGGCTCTGTGCTGAGCTGCATAGCAAGAAATTCCAGGAACCTCCTCTCAGTCACCCATTCAGGTTTATCCACACAGCAAACTGAAGTCAATTACTAATGAAATAAAAATTGGAAACAGTTTTAAAATGTTCTGCAACATCTCACTTCCAGCACAATCAATAGCAGAAAATAATAAAGGGAACGATATTTCTTCTAGCTGGCTTAAGACTTAGGAGGAAAATAGGGACCTGTAGGCTTTGCAAACTGCCATTTAAACTTGTAAAATTGTGTTTTTTTCCTAATTTGTTAACAGAACTATGGAGATGGGACTCACTATGATCATATGGCGAGCAGAGACCTTGGGTCGCATGACAATCTCTCTCCTCCCTTTGTCAATTCCAGAATACAAAGTAAGAAATCACATTTCCTAACTTGACCGTGTTGTTGAAAGTGGCATAAGTGAATCAGAAAGAGAAGTCAGAGGGTTTAAATCCCTCGTCCTCATTTTTGGGGTTGATTGTACTCGGCATGGAAGGGTGGGAAGGTGGATTTTTCCTTTTTTTAAGCTCTCATGCAATTTCCAAGGTGCACACCTGTGATCTTGGTTGCACAGACTGTGTTTTCTTGCTGCAAGAGGGACGTGACTTTTGATGCAGGAGCTGCAATGTTTGCTGAAAGAGGGAAATGGTTGTTTCCTAAGGCTCAGCCTTTCCTTTCCCAAGAAGTAGCCAGTTGATGGGGAAGGCTGGGACATGCTCCGAACAGGACTTTTAAAGCAGAAAAGGGTTTCTGAAAACATGATAAATCTGTGCTCAAAAAAGGGAACAGCTAACTGGTGAGGGACCCTGAAGCTGTTGTTGGTTTTGGAGCCCCACGGATCACTGCCTGCTGGGACCTGTGAGCTGCAAACTCCTGGATTGCAGGCGAGGGCAGTTGCAGTCTTTTCTGCTTTAGAGGAGTGAGATTTTGCCCAGGGCGTTTGGCAAGGACCCTCCTTCCACCCCACACCCCATGATAGAAAGTTTTGACACCCCTGAATAATCATTTAGCTTAGCAGCAAGCACCATAGCAGCATGAAGAGAGGCTGTAATTATTTGTAAGTGAATGATAGCTACTTTCTTTAATTAGGGTTGATAAATGAGTTTGGTTAAAGTAAATATATGATGTAAAAATATTAGTAATGCTTGTGCTTGGCCAAGATCACACCCTTCTTCTGCAGTTGTCAATGAACTAACCCAATGCTTTGCTTTAAAGGATTGAATGAGAGCCAAAGAAAACATGGAGCTGTAACTGTGATATATCATTCCTCAGCTCCAATATACGTCCCTAAAAACTGCCTTGTCTTTTAATATTGGGAAATATCTGTGAGTTGTTCAACATACAGGACAATGTTGGAGCTTGTAGTCATTTGTGTGTTTTCACGCACAAAATGTGGTTACAACAGTTTTAAAGGGTCGAGTGTAAGCCAAAAAAAGCATGGCAATTTCAACACTCCCTCCTTAACTCACGCCATGGGGCTTAGGTAGTGCACAGAGACACTTTGCAAATAGCCACACACTTCTGTGAAACCCACTGGGCTGCCTGGGCCTTTCAAGCTTAACCTTTAATTTGAGCCTGGAGAACTTTTAAGTGTCTCTCTCTTCTGACTGCCCTTGGGTTACAGAAAAAGCTCATTCCTCTCTCTGATTGTTTTTGTCAGTCTCGGTGAAAATACCAGTTTCACTTGGTTTAAGAGTTGTTTTTGAAGAACATGCTTGGAGGCACCTGGTGAAAGAATGAAGCCATGGAATAAACTGATCAGGATCTCTGGAAACCCTGAATGTTTCTAGAAGGCCCCATTTGTCACCAGTGGGGGATAGATCTTCCTGGCCCCAAACCTGCAAACCACAGATGTTAATGGCAGAGTATAATTAAATGAGGGCTTAGATTGTATTTTATTTTTCAGATGTTTGTTAAATACATTTGTACGTGGCCAGTGCATGAATGTGGGGAGCAGAAGGAAGTCTCAGAGCTGCCCTGCTCAGCTCCTCCAGCTTTGGGTGCACATGGGGTCCTGCTGCTGTGCTGGGGAGCTGAGACCCTCTTGAGAGGATCTGAAGAGTGGGCATTTTGCCCAGCACTAAAACCTGCATGGGCAGAGAGCTGGCATGGGTATGGCCCATCAGCTGTCGCTTCCCATTGCCTCTCCTCCTTCCAGGTGTGCTCCTTGGGAGTGTTCCTTACCCTGCTCCTTGGGATATCTTTCTAGTGCATGAGATCATTTCCCACTGTACAGTTCCCTGCCCCTAAACCCCTGTATCTTGATGGAGCATTTCACTGCAAGGATTAGCTGGAGGTTTCGGGTGCTGCAGAAGAAAGCTGCCGGCTTATGTGGTGACCTTTGAATCTCATCTGGGTTAGTGGTTGATATTTTGATTTGGTTACTGTGGTCATATTGTGACAGCTGCTGGTTCATTATAATTCAGTTCCTCTCCTCGCTTTGCCCACCAGGAATACTTAGGTTTGTGTTGCTTCAAAGTGCTCCATCCGCCCTGCATTCAACCCAGGGCTCCAAACCAGGTGAAGGGCTGGGAGGGCTTCTGGTCACCAGCTGCTGGACAGGCAGCACAGTGGAGGGGATGGCAGGAGGAAATGTTCCCTCAGGTTTACAAAGCTTAACCCAGTTTGTTGAATATATTAAAAATGAGGGTAGAGAAGATCAAAAGCACTTGTTTCTTTGCTTGCACCGACAGTTTGTGTGCTCCTTCCTTCCACATGTGGTGCTTCTGGTGTTCACAGTGGTGATGTGACATACCTTACTTTCAGTAAGTTACACAAAACAAGTTCCTACACTACTAACTAGGAGCAGCTTTTAATTTCTGGTAGTGCTTTGAGACTCTGTAAAAGGATGTAAAGTTATTGCATGTAGATCTCTTAACAGCTCTAGGGGTTGCTCGGCAATCTAGTGTGTGAGGACAAAATCTTTACCTGTGTTTATTTTCTCTTTCTGCTGCTAAGCCCAGACTGAAGAGCAGGTACCATGACTTGCTGTCACTTCCCTCCTGGCTGGCTGCCTCAGATGGGTGCTGTGCTGCTGTGGGTTGTGCCTCATGGCCACTTGCCCAACGTGCTTTTGGGAGGGCAGAGTCTGGGTGTTTGCCAGAGACTGGCACTTGTACTGCAAAATAAATACCTGCCCTTCCCAGGGGTTTCTTCCCTTTTTCTTTCAAAAATCTCCAAGCCATGATTTTCCTCCTAGCATTGTTGTTTTGGAGAAAATGGCTTTTTCTCTCAGTTGGGGTGATGGAGCAGGGCTGGGACATGTGGGCTGCCCACTATGTCCCAGTGGCTCCTGCCCCCGACCCCCAGCTCAGCTGCTGATCTGCCCCACACTCCTGGCAAATTGTTTAACATCTTTGTGCTCAAATGCACCTTCCTATTAACTTGTGTGGAGAACGTGCACAATAGATTTCACAGGGATATTGTGAGAAGTGATGAATTACTGTCTGGAAAACATCCTGAGTTCCTTGGATACTCCATATACATGCCAATTTTTAATCTTATTTTTAATGCTGTGATAGCACTTGTCTCTGCAAATATTGCTGTGGCGTTTGCTTTGAATCCGTGCAGCTTTGATTCTGTTGCTGTTATTCTAAGTAGAACTGGAATTTTTGCAGATTAGTTAAGTTTACTCAACACAGCATTAGAAGGCCTTGCTTTCAATTGCTAAACTATAAACATTTGGGATGAAATTTTCCATGCTGTGTATCTGACTCAGCCTGATTATTATTTTTTTAACCTTCTGCAGAAATGATTTCAACATTTCCTCAAATGAGATTACATTTCATCCTGGCAGATTTTGGATTTTCTCAGTTAGTGTCTGGCACATCACGGGCATTAATTCTTTTTCACACCACCTCTGTTATGTCAGGTGGCTTTGGTTCCCTTTTTGCAGCTGGAGAAGTGAAGGTCTGTGAGGAACCGTGAGGGAGACGTCAAAAACTGCCCAGTAATTTGAAGTTGCAAAGTTGAAATGCAAAAGGGTTTGATGGTCTCTGGGTTTTGATGGTCTCTGGGTTCTTGCTTCCAGTGGCACCCAAAGATGCCACCTCCTGGGGGAACAGCAGTTGGGATCCTCCATGTGGGTCACCCACGTTATGGGAAGACACACTCAGCAGCCTCTTATCTCAGTGGTGTCTGCTCTTCTTTTTTCTTGTTTAGTTATTTCTATTCCATAATATCTTTTTTTCCTTATTTCCTAAACCCTTTCTGTGGCAATGTGCTTTGTGAGGAACCCAGCAGCTCAGGGTGGGTAGAAAACAAAGAAACAACTATTATATTTGAGAAAAAGCAAATCCTATGTGACATACAGAGAGAAACACACCTTTTGGAAAAAAGCAGTCAGAGGTGAGTTCTCAGGAATCACCAGCAGAGCTGTTTTCCAGTTTTTCTGGACTGTCTCACTCACTACAACATTAACTAAGCTGAGTTTTGACAACAGAAAGGCTGACTAAGAGCTAAAAAGTTGAGGAAAGGCCTTGAGAAAGCAAAGGACTGGAAACCCCAGGCTCCAGTTTTCAAGTATTTTAGATCCGTGCAGCTGACACAGCCCAGCAGCTGCAGGTTTAGGAGGAGGCACTGGAAGGATCATGTATGATGGGCAAAAGCTTCCAAAGAGGGAGAGCCTTATCCTGTTGGGTGCTCTGCCAGCTGCTGAGCTGAGCACCCAGGAATTGCCCAGCCCAGTGGAAAATGTTTGGAGAGATCAAACCATGTAGTTTCTACCTGGAAATGAGGTTTGGGGTGGATGCAGGAGGGTCCAACTGCCATACTGCTGGGAAGTGGAGAGGTGCTGGTGTCCCAGTTCCTAATCAAGCATGGTGAGGACTGAGATACTGGAAGATGTTGCCCAAGGAAGCTGTGGCTGCCCCATACTTGGAAGTGTTCAAGGCCAGGTTGGACAGGGCTTGGAGCAACCTGGTCTAGTGTCCCTGCCCATGCAGGGGGTTGAAACTAGATGATCTTTAAGGTCCCTTCCAGCCCAAACCAGTCTATGATTCTATGTAAAGTAATTTTTTGAGATTTTTTGCCAAGTCTAGAATTGTTTCACCAACCAAAAGATCTCATCTTCATTGTCTCTAGACTTTAAACCTGGTGATAATCTGGGAACTAAATGTGCTCCTTGCATATTCTGAGAGCTGGGCACTTTAAGTGCATCTCCAAGAACTGGATTACAAAACAGCAGCTGATTGCAAACGTGGTTTATTCTGCTCTGTAATGGACAGATCTAAACATACATATAAGTTATGGCTCTGTGATCCTCCCTCCCCTTCCCAGGAACAGCTGGACAGGATTTCTTCCAGCCTGTTTTTCTGGATTAGTTTTAGTTGTTTCTGCAGAACAAAGCAGAAGTGCTTCTGGATAACCCTGA